CCTCCCCTCCCCCTCCCACCCACCTCCTGAAGTATTGGCCAATCACCCCAGCGGGCATAAAGTGGTTGCCAGCCCGCAGGGCTCCCAGCCGGGAGGTGTCACCCCCACCAAGCACAGGCCGGAGCTCGGCACCCAGCATGTGGGCACCACTTACTTGGAGGACGCTACTCAGTAAGTACTTCCTTCCTCTCCACCAGGACTTGCTTGCTGCACCCATGGGTGCTGGCCCTCTGTCTTCCGGAGCTGTGGTGGCAGGCACTGGGCAGAGGGATGCTGAAAAGGGGAAAGAGCCAGGAGGACAGGCAAAGAGAGGGGTCTGCTCAGAACCTAGCATTGGCACAGGGTGAAGAAAGGGTATCCCTGGAGGGCTTCCAGGGGGAGGTGATATAGAGGCAACTCTGGGAGTGAGGGAGGGAGGGGTTGGGTGAGAGGCTGGGAAGGAGGAGGGAGGTAGGTGCTCTGGCCCGCGGAGGAAGCTGGGCAGGAACATGGTGCCATGTCTGGAGGAGCGGCGGGGTGGCGGGCCCTCCTCGCCCTCCTCGCCCCGATTCGCGCGGGGGGCCCAGGATGATAGACAGTCAGGAGCCGGGACCCCAGGTCCACACAATCTCACAGCACACTTAGCCACACCCACAGGGTGGCAGCACACAGAGCCATGTGACCCCAGCCAAAGCCCTCAATCTCACCAAGCTAAGGAACCCCACACACAGCCCCCGGCCTGGGGTGGTTGGGGCTCAGCACCTGTGTGCGGCCAGCTGCTCCCCGGAGCCTTACGGAGACCCAGACCTGGACGCACACCCACCAGACACCCTCACACTCACAGGGGCTCCCCTCTGAAGCCCGGCAGCGGGTACCTGAGAGCCAGTGAGGGGTGCTGTGTGGTCACTGCGCCCAGCCCCTACGCCCTCCCCAGCAGCGTCTTCCCCAAGGGGCCGAAGGGGGAACATGGTGTCACTGCCTTCCGGGCCCATTGCGCCACAGACCCCTTCCGACCACGTGACTGCTGGTGCCTGATGGGTGGGGGGAGGCGGCAGCTGGCAGCTGTGCCCGCCCCCTGGGGCCTTCCAATGGGCTCAGGCGCCCCGGTGCACCTGCGGAAGGAGCGTGGGAGGCCAGACGCCAGTGCTGACCTCGTGGGGCCTGGGCTGTTCCTTCAGCGCCCTGGTTTTCCTATAAGTAAAAGGGGGGCTGGATCTCGGGAACCTCTGGGGGGGATGGCAACCTCCATGGCTCTGCAGACATAACTGGGGTGCCGGGCTGCTCCTGGACACCACCGGCATGGAGGATGGGGTTGGGTGACAGGTGACAAGGGGTCCAGTGCCTGGGATAGCAGCCACCCCTGGGCCCAGAGGTCTCCCCGAGAGTTCCTACTTACTGGGCCAGTTCCTGGGTTCAAAGCACAGCCCGGCACAGGTGCTCCACGCCACGGCCTTTCAAATGCCTCCTTGGGGTATCCTTGCCACTGTTTCAGGTGCTGGGCAGTGACCGCTGGGAAGGGGACTGCGCCCACGCGCCCTTGCACAGCCCAGGCCCACCCCCGAGGCGCAAAGCCAGGGCCCTGGGGCCGCACGTTCTGAGGTTCTCTTGAGCCCCCCCCCCAGAGCCCCACCTCTGGCTTTCTCTGCCAGTCAGATGACCGGCCCTACTCTCCTTGGCTCCAGGTCTGGCCCTCGGACTCCTGCTCCTGAGGGCAGCAGCCATGGGCGGCTGCTCTGGCAAGTACCATGAGCTGCTTAGGCAGCTCCAGCGCCAGGCTGACTTCATGCAGAACCCCAGCATGCTCCTGGAGCCCTACGTGAGTGTCTTGCCCTTGGGGTGTCTGCGTCTCTGAACTGCGGGTTGAGCCCTAGGAGGGTCAGGCCCACTGAGTCCCCAGCCCCTCTCATAAGGTGTGCGTGGGGTGACCGAGCCCCCAGCTTATTCCGTGGTCATGGGGAATGTTTCAGGCCCAACCCTGAGATGCCAAGGAGCCAACGCAGCTGGTCCAGCTCAGCGGGACTGGTGTGACGCTCGCTGCATCACCCCCTTCGCCCTGTCAGCACGTTTGCTGCACACCTGACCTGCACACCTCGCTCAGGTGCCCGGGGACGAGGCAGCCCGCAAAGCAGCCCTCCGCACTGGCTCCCTACAGCTCAGTCTCTGCTGTGGGGCCGCCCCACCCCACCCCCGGGCCCCGCTCCCTGCTTGCAGGGGCGTCCTCTCCCCTTTCCAGCCTCAGTTTTCTGCATGTGTACAGGGAGGAGGTCGGCTAGAGGGTGCATGAGTTGTAGCGGTTCAAACCAACCAGAGCAGGCGTGTCTGTGTCTGTGCACGCGTGCACGTGTGCTCCAGCACTAAGTCCCCTTCCCCCTCCCCCCAGATCCACATCCAAGGCCTGGATGTGCCGGTACTGCAAGAACGCTGCAAGGAGCGCCCCGGGGCCTTCCCCAGCGAGGATGCCCTGCGGGGGCTCAGCAGGCCAAGCTTCCTGCATGCACTGGACACCAGGCTGAGCCACACCCTGCACAGACTGAAGGCTCTCCAGAAGGGTCTCCCCGAAGCCAAGTTCTTGGAGGCAGCCGTGCTAAACATCCGCGGGTTCAGGAACAACATTCACTGCATGGCCCAGCTGCTCCCGGACACCTCAGAGGCCACGAAGCCCACTCAGGAGAGCCCGTGGGTCTTGCCGTCGGCAACCTCTACCTCAGACACCTTCCAGCTCAAGTTGGAGGGCTGCAGGTTCCTGAGTGGCTTCGGCCGCTTCATGCACGCCGTGGGGCAGGTCTTCAGGGGCTGGCGGTTGAGCCCCAGCCGCAGCCGTAGACACAGCCCCCCCCCAGCCCTACGGAAGGGGGCCGGCAGGACGCGCCCCTCCAGCAAGGGCCAGAGACTGGTGGTCAGGGTACAGCTGCTGCGGTAGCCTTAGGCCCCCTGTAGGGTGCCCTACAGGACATGCCTCCTCAGGGTCTACCCTTGAAGAGCACTTTAACAGGTGGGCCCAGGCAGGCCCCTTCACCTCCTCAGGGAGGGATGGGGGCAGGGGGCAGGCTGTGGTATACCTGACTTCGCCCGTCTCAATGGGGCGTCAGGGTTGGATCACGCGTGGCCAACTTTCCATTGATTCAGGGGTCTGATGACACAGGCTGACTCACCACAGACTGTCTCCCCCCACCCCCCGGCTCCCCGGAGGCTGGCCCTTCCTGCTCATGACTTGCAGGCTGTGGCCCCCAGACTTCCTTGTTTGGTGGTCAGAGGGGGAGGTCAGTCCTGAGTTGGCCTCCTATGCCTCACTGCCACGCCAGGGCCAGACACCTGGATGTCTGGGTGACCTCACTTTAGGCAGCTATGACAGGAGCAGAGTGTCCAGAAGAGGACTGACTCTGGGAGCGGTTGGCCCAAGAAATGGGGCTCAGGGTCCAGCGGAGCCCCTAAACCACATGCAGCCTTGAAGCCACGTTACCTCTCTGGACCTCAGTTTTCTCTTTGTGCATGACTGGTGTGTCTGGGATTCTGTACCATAGGGTGGATATCAGATTCTTTCTGTAAATCAGACTATTTCCTGCGAAAGGACTGAGTGTTCGCACTCCTGAGGGAAACCTGACCCCGCGGGGGCCCGCAGGCCGCGGGTGGCGCCCTCTGGTGGCGGACTTGGAATCTACACCTGCAGAAACAATCCTGCAAGGGGCCTTCTCCTTGGGGGAACGAGACTATTTATCCATTTTTATCAGTTTCCTATTTATAAGGCCTATTTATGGTGCATATTTAATGTTAATATTGTATCGACATCTATTTAAAAGTTTTCTGGTTTCTAAAACTGTTGTGTTTTCTGCAGGCTGTGGGAGAGGATTCAGGGAGCCCCGCCTCTCAGGAAAGGGGTCTCAAAGCCGCAAGACCACACATGTCCACTGCCTGAAGGCTGGGCTGGAAGTCTTGACGTGCCTAGGAAGGGAAGTCACGTGTCCAGCCAGCCGGCAGCTGGGGGCTCTGACTGTGGCGGCGTCCCAGACACAGACAAGGACTTGTTGTGTCTGGACGGGGCTCCCTTGAGACACTGGGGGTGGAGGGAGTTCTGGGGTGAGGGGGGAGTAGGAAGGTTACAGTGCGAACGGACAACGTAATAGTAGATCCTGCCTTCGATTTGGCCTGGAAACTAACATGTCCTTGAAAATGCTTTCTAAGGGCCCAAGGCATCCAGTTCCCCCAGAAAACTGGGCTCCCCACCGCCGCTCACCTGAGGTGGGGCACCCGTCGGTCCATGAGAGGCTGAGGCAGCAGTTACAAAGGAAGGACTCAGAGGAGTGGATAACCTTGACCTGGATCAGTCCCTGGCTACCCCCATTTTCTGGGGTTTGGGGTCAAGGAGGGAACAGGACATCACCAGAGAGAGGAGCGCCCCGGCAAGACTGTCTCTAGTAGAAATGAGCAGCTTTGCAGAGGAGACCGGGGCTCAGGGCTGGCGTGACCTGCCCACCTTCTCAGAACAATGGACTGAGGTACGCATTGGGGTACGCATTATCTGTGAGCAACTTCCTGTTACCCTTCAGCCTCGGAACCTGGCTCACAATTTTGTGTGTCCCTGAGAGGTCAGAGCCCCCAGGTGAGGAGCAGACAGACAGTAGCAAAGACCCCAAACGAGCACCTGGTAGCAGTGGAGCGAGGCAAAAGTAAGGCGGCTGATGTCATAGTGAGAGTCAGACCGCGTGGGCGGTCAGGGTGACACCAGGAAGAGGCGACACCGTGACACTGCCTGGGTGACACGTGGGAGAAGGGTGGGGCCTTCCAGGTGGCAGGAACAAAGAGGGCAAAGGCTCTCTGCATCGGAAGATCAGAGTGTGGTAAGGGCCTTACTGATAAAGAACCAGAGAGGGGAAGCGGCTCGCCCAAGGTCACAGAGCAAGTCAGTGCAGGCCTGGAGCTCCAGCCTGGGTCCCTGACTTCCACCCAGCAGTCTCCCGAGGCAGCACCCATGACATTCCTTCTAGGGGTTAGCCCTTGCTCTTGGGGGTCCTGCCACCCCGGCCATTTTTGGGCTCCTGAAATGCGCCCTCCTAGCGCGAGGCCCGACTTGTGCTGCTCCCTGTCTGTTCCCAGTCGTCCTGATCTGCATCCTCAGCAATTCAGACCCACTGCCCACGGCCCTGCTCCAGGTACTTAGTTGCTTTCCACAAACTGTCTCCAGGAGGGGCTTGCCTGACTGGCCCTGGCACCACCTCCCACCTCCCCCTCTAGCTGCTGGAGTGGAGACAGCATCTGTTTGCGCTGCTGCATCCCAGCACCCTGCACAGTGCCTGGCACCAGGGGGGCCCAGTGAGGAGCAGGACAGATGGGGTCCGGCCCCTCAGCCTGAAGGGGAGAACAGAGGCAGATATGTTGATGGAAGCTGAAGCTCCAGGGAGCTGGCCCCCGGTGGGGCACCCTCTGGGGCACCAATACAGGCTGGCCTCACCCAGCACTGGGGCTGGGCTGCTGGGAAACTGGGCAGGAGGTTGTGCTAGGCTCCTGGAGCAGAAGGGAGCTGGTGCTGTGGCTGCCTTGTGGCTGCCCACGGAGAGGGCAGAGATCGGCCTGAGGGGGAGCTGGGAAGCACAGCTGGTCGCCCCCACTCTTGCTTGGGTCCTCGCCAACCCCCTACTCCATGGCCCCAGGAGAGGTGACTGATGCTGGCTGTGAGCTGGAAAAGCACCCATCCCATGGGTGATCCGGCTTCTGGGCTAGAGTTTTAGGGGTCCTCCCTATAAAGATGTGGCACCCCCACCATGTCTTCTGATGAGACGGCAGCTGCAGGAGGCCCCAGGCCGCCACCACCAGCCTGGTCCTCAACCCAGACAGGTGCACAGATGCAGCTGCTGGGATCCCTGTGGACGCCTCAAGGTAAGAACCACCCCTAACTGCACACCTGCCCTCTGTTTCCCACTGGGCCGCTGGCGCTCCAGAGCCTCAGCCCCTCCCGACCTCAGGCCTCACCCAGCTGCCCCCTACCTGGTACCTGCCTCCCGCGCCCCTGTCCCGCCAGACACCCTGTCTGTCAGTGTGTCTCCTGCCACACACCTGCGACTCCCTCCTGTCCCAATCCACAGCGTGGGCGCCAAACCCGCGCGGCACGCCGGGCCCTGCTCTCAGCCCACCAACTCAGCCGGGCCCTCTCGGCATTCTCTCCATGCTCAGCTGACCCCCGGCCTGCCCCTGCCTGCAGGAGCCCCTCTGCACTCGGCCCAAGGTCAGGCCCAAATACTGAGCCCCTCATCCCCAGCCCCGCGGCTTGGGTTTCCTTGGTGCTGTTTTGCAGCTCCGGCGCCACTCTGGAGTCTGCATCGGGCTCAGCCGGTCCTCCCTGGTGGCCGCTACCCCTCTCCAACAAGTGCTGAGAAGTGGGGCTCCCAGGGCCATCTGCTGTACTGTCTGGAGGGGCACTCTCATTCCCACTGCGCTTGCCCACAGCCCGAGTGGCCGCCCACAGGCACCCTTTCTGGGGCTGGCAGCGCCTGTCCCCCTGGCTATGGGCTGGGAGAAGGGGCAAGGCGCGTGGCCACACCGCGCTGGCACAGGCTGGGCCTGCCCGCTGCGGCACAGCCCTGAGCCGGGTTTCCTCTTTGAAGCTTTTCAGGGTGAGTGTCACAGTTCCTCTGCCAGTGCCGCGCGCACCTGTCTGGTGCAACTCGCAGGACAAACGTCTGCGCAGGCGTGCAGCAGCGCTCTGGGTGTCCCCGTTTAAGGGGCTGCTCCTCTTTCTCGGGGTATGGGGGCTGAGGAAGTCCTCCACGTTAAGCAAACCGGGTTCAGCTCCCGACTGCCTCCGCAGGGGTCAGCTCCCGCTGCCTGCCCCTCTGTGGGTGGGGCATATGCCGGCTCCTGGGCACGACAGGTGCCATGTTGGGGCTTCGCGGAGGGGGCTGGCAGCCTTCTCCTGTTTTCTCTCGTGTCCCCTTCTCCTTGTTGGTTTTCTTCCCTCACTGCTCATTTTTTGGGTCCCTGTGCCCCCACACCTTCCCACCCTCCACCCGAGCCTGAGCCCTGAAGAACCCCTTTCCCAGGCTGAGGGAAGGGTCACAGTCCATGGTCAGAGGGGAGAGGCCCTCCCTGCTTCCTGGGGCGTCCCCTTCCTGAGGGCTGGGCTTCGCGGCCCTGGGAGGGGCGAAGGTCTCCGAGGGAGGGGGTTGGGCAGGTGGGGCCCTGGAGCCTGTAGAGGCTGATGAAGGCCCAGGTGACTCCAGGGCTCCGAGGTGGGTGCCGGCGGGAGTGGTGTCTTGGGGAGCCTGAGTCTAGGGGTGGCTGCGGCCCTGTGAGTGCCCCGGGGACCGGGACAGGGACACGGGCCTGGTGCACACGGCCTGCGGCAGGTCTGAGTCAAAACACCTAAGGCCGACCCGCACAGTCATGCGGAGGGCTGCCCAGTCATCGCCTTATGCCGGCCTGGGTCACCCAGGCAGGCTGGGCGCGGCCCAGTCAGCTGTGACTCAGGTCCCAGAGGCCGCGCTGGGCAGGGTGAGGGGCACAGGGATGACCCCCTGGCCCTTATTCTCCCCCCCCCAGCCCCCGGGGTCTCCCCATAGATCCGGCCCCAATCTGTGTCAGGTATAGTCTGACCAGGAACCTGGGGTGCTCGAGTTGCCCCCCGCCCTTGAACTGGGGGGTGGGGTGGGGTGGAAGTGGGGAGAGCCTCCTCCCCACCCGGCCCTTGACGGGAAGTCAGCTGGGGGGGCGGGGTGAGCTATCTCCAGAGAAGATCCAGCAGGAGACGGGATCAGAGGGGGCCTCGCCCCGAAGATGAAGGTGTCGCGCTGACGGTCGGGCACACAGCCCTGGAGACTCGAGCGGGTCCGGCAGGTACAGCCCACGGTAGGCCTCCCTGATGGGCAGGGCAGGGCAGGGCAGGGGGGAGAGGCAGCCCCGCACTTACCCCGCAGCCTCCCCTGGTTTCCG